CTCCTAAACACACAGTTTTACTCCTACTGCAAAAGCAACAGCAATGGTAGTACAATTATGGGAAAACTGAATGCTGTTTGGGATGTTATTGTTTTATGAAAAAAAGGCAACAAAGTGCTTACGTTATCTTATTATTAAATGCATTATACATTCACAGTATGTGACACAAGTTACTGTAAAGAATTCTCTCCTGGCATCTCATATATTTTAAGAATATTATTTTTAAAATACCACACATAAAGATGACAAGATGATAAGCAGCTAATATTTTTAACATTGACAACTAAGTAGATGATTAATAAGTTTGAAAATAATGCTAAAAAATGTTGCCAAGATGACACAAAATTGTTCCAAGCAATCTCCCATACTGTTTTCCTCTGTAACTTTATGCTGCAGACTGTAGTACCCATAACTATAATTTTCTAGAAATTCTATAAAAGCATTGCATATTTCCCAGACATGCAGTACATGACAGAACAAGACCTTGAAGAAAATAGAACAGTAAGAAACCACTAAGGCAGCAAGCCAATATCTTGTTCCTACCTACAGTCAGAGTTGCTTTATTTCCAAAATCCATCAATATTTAATGATTACTTTTCTATTACTGAATTTTTATATTCATGCCTTCAAAATTGTACCTCAGATGGGACTTGAGCAGAATTTAAAGAACGAAACAAAGAGATTTGGAATATTTGTCCTCCAACTCTTCAGCATCACCGACTACAAGGCTTCCTAGGTTTCCTACATCTGGACAGCTCTACCTGCTCAGAAGCAAACAAGGCTGAGCTGTGCACGTCACATCAAAGCTTTACCACAATACAATGTGAGTGTGCTTTATTCTGTTAAATCACAAGAGGGTTTGATTCCTTAAATATTTCTGGCATAGACCAAGAGCATGGCATTAGGCACTCTAAGGGTTGTTCATGCATTTGTACTCAACATCAGATAAAAGGCGTAAACAGAGCTGGAACCCAAAACCTGTTCCTTGTTAAAGCACTCCATTCCCTCATGTTCAGAATTCACCCCTGGCTTCCCTCTTACTTTCTCACACATTGAGCCAACTCTCAAAAAGGATGCTTTATGTGGCAACTTTGATTGCTTTACACTTTGTCATACAGGGGCTTTAGCTTACAAATCTTAAGCATGCACACAGTGCCTTGACTTACTAATTTGTGCACTGTTTATCATTTATTTCCAACAAAGAATGCAAATCTTTTTGTGTAACTAAAAATCCATCATAATGTAAGGTAACACATTGATTTTTTTTCATATTTCGTCTACTTGATTCACATCACAGACATAAAAACTACCTGAAATCATTTTTAATTAGTATAAGAACAGATAACTGTAACAGTCACAGAACCTTCTTTAATGTAAAAGAAAAGGCTTTTATAATTTATTACTGATTTTTGTATAGAATGCAGTAATGAATCAAATATAAAAACAATTCAAACTAGATTTTTGTACAATAAAGCGTCATAAAGAACTGAAGGATTACACATATCTTTACTGCAAGCCACATGTTAGGACTACTGAATATAAAGATCATGTGTACACCAAGAATAAAAACTCTAACTTTCATTCTCTGTACAGCAAGACCAAATGACAGGATGTCAATGAATAATTGGTATTAGGCATGTTTGGTTCTTTTAAGATGAAAAAGTGTAATAGTTAATTATAAAAAACATGATCTCTGTCAAATTACTACCCATCAGCAGCCGACATACCACACTTCTGGCGCAAAGTTAAAGCAGAGTGAGGGTCAATCGCAGAGCAAACCTGCATTAGATAGTATTAGCTGTAGGTGATAATGCAGATTTCAATGTCTTTAGGCAATCCATTTTACAGTTTAACCAGTTCAAAGTTTTCCTTGTATTCTACCTTAATCTTTCTTGTGGCAATCTAATCCCATTACTTCTTCTCAACCAAAATGGGGCCGTGGGGGAAGGCACTTTATCATCAGTCTCTCTTTCCAGCTTCTTTCATGTATTTGAAACCTGTTATTACGTTTCCATCATTTCTTTGTCCTTCGTTTTAGGCTTGTCACATCTAAGTCTGCATCATATCAGGATGCAAAATGAGTCCTTAGATTTCTTTTAAAGCTATTGAAATGTCAGCAATTATAGTGAGCAAAAATCCAGAAGAGTCAATTTTTTTAATCTTTTCTTTAATTACAACTATTCAAAACTTTCTGAAACATGAATTATATCTTTTTCCTATAAAAACTGTTACTCATCTCATAGTAATTTGATAGCATAACACTATGCAATGCCTGTATGAATGTATCAGTTATCTGATGACAGTTGCAAAGGCATCATTATTGACAGAGTAGAATAAGGAAAATAGTTATATTTGTACAGAATTTTCTATCCCTGGACAAACGTCAGAACAGAACTGATCACTCGGGTGGACAGTCAGCTTCTTTCAGAGCATTTTGAATGACCTCCTATAAAAGTATAAACAGAGAGGATTTAGGAAAAGTTTTCGAAGGACAGTAAGACTGCTATGCATCTCCTTCTTTCAAGATCATCAGGGACCTAAGGAACAACAAAAGCTAATCCAGTCTATAAAAGAAAATCAAGTTTTTCTTGCAAGTCTTTTTAATATATGTCAGCAACAGTCCAGCTAAGCTGGGAGGTCAGATTTTACCTATAAGCACATATATGACAACAGCAGAATGCATAATACTTGTACTGAATACATAAGTACTTTTGTCAGGACACTGGGAAGATATTATTTTACATCATATGACATAATTATGTTAAAAGAATAATTCTTAGTTTTTCTCCCAGTGTATACCACTTTACCTCTCAACTGTAGAGATCGAGAACAAGGTCTTTTCCCAGCTCTCCAATTCATAACCAAGTTACACCCTTGTAACTATAGCAATTTGTTAAATGAAGAATATTATAGCATTACAGAGTTACAGTCATTATCTTGTCATTCCTTTAAAAAGTTCTCAGTCTGGATCCTCAAAGAAATGACTGAGGAAAAAATGCACCACATGCTCAGGCAGTTTCAACAGAAGGATGAGTCTCAGGAGAAAGGAATTGTTGGTAAGGTCAAGCCAGAAACAGCAGAGAAAAGTGACACAAGACAGGACTATGAGGATGACTGGGTTTTTTCAGTTCCTCATGATTTTATCTTTCCTACTTTCTACCATTTCCTGTCTCTTTTTCTAATTATTTCAGTCACACTTAAGTTCAGCTTCTGACTGGGTTGCTCTTTCTTCTCCTCATATTTTTTCCTTAATTATGGTTTTAATTCACAGCTATTTTCAATTTTTTTCTGCACTACCAAAAGCATTATCATTATGAAGAAGAAAAAAAAATAGAACCATGTCTTTATTTCTTTGTTTTCACATTGCCTGATCAGAACTATGGTTCCAAAATACTCTTAAACCAAAGTAAAATTCATTTGACTTATCTATGGATCACTGGTACTTTTTCCTACAGAAATCCCTAGCCCACAATTTGGGCAACACTACCACAGGAACAAAAACCATGATACTGAAGAAAATATAACAGTTCATAATGACTTAATTCCTCAAAATGTCTTAAAGACTTAAACAGATTTATGGGATCTATACTACAAAATATAACATACCAATGCAGATAAAGCCTCAAAATAATTATCATCTTTATTTTTTAAAGCATTCTTTAGTCTAAACAGCTCCTGTTAAAATCATGTCTACCAATAAAAATATGTACTCTTACAGACTAGGGCTGAAAAAACAAGTCATAAAATTTATAATTTTACTGGTCTTATAAATTGATTTTAGCCATTATTGCACCACACATAATTCACTAAAGGTGATGGAATGCTTATTTGGTTGATAGCTAATGTATCCCTGAAGAGTAAAAGCTATATTAATACATCATTTTGCCATAAAGGTGATATAGACAGGAAAAGAACATTTTGTCAAGTTCAGGAAATAAGAGAACTATTAAGAATTATTTAAAGCATCATAAAGCACCAGCAAAATGTGCAATTGTCAATAGGGGCAAACATTAATCTTTCCATCCCCTTGAACACACTTTCTACATATTGTGCTTGAGTTTACCAGCTGTGCAGCTTTATGCATTGCCTACTGCATGTTTAAGTGCTAAGGAAAAAGCGAACCTTGAATAAATATTCCTTGAGAAGCAAAGGTCCAGTAAAAGAATTATCAATAATAAAGAAGAAAAAGTAATGGGACAAAACTTTCTAGCACTCTCCTAGATTCCATCTCAACTACCTTAATAACTTTTAATATTGAATATATCCCCACCTTCCTCCATTTACTTATATGGGAAAGAGACACTGTCAAATTTAAAATCACCCATGCAAGTAAAAAAACAGCCCTATAGCAATACTAAAAAAAACCATCTAGAGTATTTGATTTCATTCTTTCACTTCAAGGAGAATCCTCCAATGCAGCAATTACAAAAGCGAACAAATTGAACAGATTAGGGTTCCTTACAATCCTCAGTGTACCAGGCTTTTCTGTTTGAACTATACACAGATAAGACTTGTTGGTCTGCTGAATGCATAATTTTTCCACTACCATCACACATCTATACAAATCAGTGCTGTCAGACCTTATGGTAGATACTGAACATCATTTATAAGTACCTTCTCACTGCTTTTAAGAGGATTGTTTACATGGAATGAAATTATGCTTCTGACATAACAGGATTTAAGGAGTTGCTCTCATAACACAGCTCTATTCTCTTGCTTTCCTTAACGGGGGAAAGTTAAATTTCTTCAAATTACCATCTTGGTTTTAAGTGCATCCAGACCAAACCACTGCAAAATGATTATTCTAAATGCAAAGTTTCTCTTAAAAATATTAATCTGATTTTGAATCATTAATTTAGCTGCTCAACTCATCTGTATTATTGAATAAACTTTTAACCTTCAAAGAAAAGTTAATTTCACATTACACTAAAAAAAAGTTCAATTCACATTACATAAAATGTCATTTCAATATTTTTTGTTCCTCTCCCAGTATAACTTACCTGTACACTGTCCTCCATTTGTGGGGTCTCCATAATATCCTGGCATGCACGTTTCACATTGTTTTCCTGTTGTTAAGTTTTTACATTGATCACAGACATTACTGTTGATGCAGGTGCTGTGGCCATTACACTGGCAAGCTAGAATATAACATTTAAAAAGCCATTACTGAATTGCTCTTGGAAACAAAATCATTCCTATGTGATTACAAAATTGCAGGAGAATGTAATTCTGACGAGCTTAATCCAGACTACTGACCAGCATAAGTATTTGTACCTTGACACAGAACCTCTACAAAATAGCATTCTGACAAGACATGAATTCACATAAAAACCACAGATGTTGACTATGTAGTGACATGTGAGTTTAAGGTGTATGAGAAACTCTTTTCTGCCATTGAGTGACTGAATCCAGTCCTCATAGTTTTAAAATGCCACCCAGTCACTGAAGAAACCTGTTAAGAGGCAGTAAGATACCAACCGAGACCAAATGAAAATGCCCACACCTATGTGCAATCCACTGTGAAGCATCTGAAAGGCTACTGTGATGGAGAACACAACTCACACTCAAGCTTGTATCTACTGGGGAGAGAGAACTTAGAAAAAATTAACCAAAGATCATCTTATTTTTAACAGTTCTGATCCTTGCAATAACTTTGGCATACTAAGGGGTTTTAAGGACATCAGGACCACATCAAACAGCTCCAGTTCCTACTCAATACAGTCAATTTTGGTGAAAGAAAAAAAACTGGACACTTATTGACATAATTTTTTTACATCCAACCTTAAAAGCATTTTTTTTTTTTTTTGCCAGACAGCAACACTATAAACCACTGCTCCTGCATCACACCTCCACTCCAGCACTCCACGTTTTGGAGAAACTCAGGAAGTACTGATCACTGCTGCAGCAAAATCACAATGTGAATTTTGCCAGATTCACTGATCCTGTTGCCAGGACTTAGCTGGATAACCAAGAGGTTTTTTTGAACGGTGACCTCTTGATAGAGTGAGATCTCAGAGGACTCAGCAGATTAGCAATTATAGCAACTCGTCAAATGTCAGACTACGTCAAACCTGGTGATTCCTCAATGGTTGAGGGTGTGTAAGACTCAGCAGAGGACAGCTGTCTTGGTAAGATCTTTTTCTTTTTTAAATTTGGATTTTTAATCTAAATGTCACAGTGACTGGTGTCTTGGCTAGGTAAAAAAAAATATTCTCACTGCATGATTTGAAACTTCTTAGAGCTGTTTTAGAATTTAGTAACTTAATAGATTTACAGCCATTGCCAGGCTTGGCTCATAAACCATTAAACTTCCCAAGTTTACAATCTCTTCCTTCTTCCGTAGCTATGCCTACAGAATCTCATAAACTTGTATCAAACACTTCTGTACTACTGTAAAAAAAAAGTTTTCTCACTGTCTTGACTAAATCCCTTTAGAGATTATGAGTTTTAGTCTAAGAATACTTCATTTTTATACTTGATATTTAGACTACTTGTAGTGTCTCCCTCCAGGCAGTTTGCCATCCTGCAGTTTTCTTCCTATCCTCAGAAAAAGCTACACAAAAATTCCATCAATTACAGTTCCATTTTGGGTTGTATTTATATGTCTTAACACATTAAATTATTTACAGCAAATCTTAAAAAAATGCAGCCAAATAAACCAAAAGTAAAAACAAATAATAGGTTCAATAGGTGTTCTACCAGGGATTGCCTAATAAAGACTGTATCATAATGTAGGGAGAATGTTTCATTCTGATATTCTCTAACCAGTGGGTCATCGATTCATAAATTTTCTATTCTTTTTAATGCCTAGTTTTGTATTTCTCAATTTTTGTGATATTTAAAGGATAATGAAAGCAACATTAATAATTTTTTTCAATGGTGAATTTTAGTTTGCTGTAAGTCATAACATTATCTGGTCATATATGATAGCTCCTAATTCTTACATTTTGTTAAGGCAAAGAAAATGGAAAATATTTTAGATCATATATGATAGATATATAGATAGATAAATAAATATATACACACACACAGAGTAAGAAGCAATACAATCTAAAATTGGCATGGCACACCATTTAAAAATATTACATATTTGCTGATTTTCCTAAAAATATGGATCTCATTGAGAAAAGTGAAAAGTCAGAAGAACTGCAAAATTCAACACCTTTATGTGATACAGGGGAGTGCAATTAAACTGGTTACATCCGTATTAAATAATTAAAATTATAATTAAAATAGAGACACTTCAGTGATCATTTAAGTAAGAACTAGGAGTTAAATAATAAAAATATTTTTTTTCTTTAAGTGATTTTAATGTACATTACTAGCAGAAACAGAATAATTTTTCTCAGACATACAAATGTGATTTAGCTGAATCTTCAGTGTGGCTGCCCTGGAGATAAGCAATTTTATGTCTAATTTGCTTTTGACATCTGTGTTGAAATGATTGGTGATGCTGACTGTTGTTGATAATTAGACTTTTAAGAAAATACTAGGAAAATATATAAAAAGGATGTCTGCATTACAATCTGGATCTAGTGTAAAGATACTTCTACTGGTTTTAAACAAATTAGTTAGAATCAATTCACACTGCTTTTCAGAGAAATTTAGGCTTTGAAGACAAACTTGGGCTTCATTCTACCCAAACTGCTGCTCTTATGAGAGGAAATCCCAACATTATTCATTTTTCTTTTTTTTGGTAGATATATATTTGCCATTTTATTTATAATAATAGTTCAATCAAAATAAAAATATGATTAAAATATATTCATATCAAAATAAATATTATGACAGCTCTTTTGAGAACTATTGCTTTCAAAATGACCATTCACTAAAAGAAACATCTTTTATGCTAACTGCTGAATACTAGTTTTAAAGATCTGAACAGACGGAAAATAAGAATGAATTTAAAATACCTATCACCAACACAATTGCCTAGAGACACTACAAAGAGCATGGATATGAACTAGAAGTAAAATTAAGCTTACACACGAATGGTTCAGCCAACTATTCATCAATGTGGCAGAATAATCTTCAAACTATGTATTATAACTTTTTTTTTTTAATCCAAACTACAAAGTAGCAGTAGTTCAGTACTAAGTACTGAATTTTTCAAACAATATAACGTCATCCAATTGTTTGCAGAAATTTACCAGAGTTTTCTTTTTATTAGATAGTTTGGAACTGGGTTTTTTTTGTTTGTTTTTAACAAAATGATTTGACAGTTTTGCAATTGGTTTTACAACTCTCTTATTTATTCTAAAACTTAAAAAAATCTGCTATTTTTAAAAAAGATTTACCAAAATAAAACTTTTTTCAGAAATTCCACTTTCCAAATATTATAGTCATATACACACTTACATATAAATATATATACATATATATATATATACACACACAGAGACACAACCACATATATGCATACACTCACAGAGAACACTGCTGATGAAGAAAGAACCCAGGAGAGTAAACAAACATAGCTGCATGTACCCATAAAGGTTTTTATCATAGAGAAGCTCCTGCTTCCAATGAGCAATAGGAGCACTTGCTGGAAAAATGATTTTATCACAATTGCATCATTTATTTTTAAAAAGTATTGAGTATTTCCATACAGAAGTTCATACCAGTTCAGCTTCCACTGACCTAAAGAGCCTGATGTCTTGCTTACTTTTTCAACAAATTTGAAAATTAAAATACTGTAATTAGATTGGTATGGCTTAAATTTAAACTTCAGAGATTCTCTTGAAGATTACAAAAGCATACATTCTAATTATTCAAAATGTCTACAAAGTAGACCAGAGGCACAGCTCAGTTATTTGGCATCCCCCCCTTCTCACAGCCAACAGGACTTTTGTATTAGCAGCGGTCATCAGCAGTTGCTTATATCTAATTTCTCCCCAGCTACACTCTGATGGATACAGAAGCCAGAAGAAAGCAAAAGCTGAAGCAAATTCATATAGGTGGATTTGTAAAAGTAGAAAGATAGGATGGGTGAAAACTTATTTACAAATAAATGGCAGTTTTGGTCAAACTATTTGCATTAAATTTCACATGTGAACCTGCACGACAGCAAGCATATTTGTGTTCAGTAGACAGAGACTAACAAACTACATATTTAGGAAACACTTTGGAAAAACGAATCTCTCATGCAAATATTATTTGTGTTACTCAATGTTAATTTGGCGTTCTTAAAGAAGTATCTCTTATTTCACAGGTAGGAAAGAATGGAAGCAGATCTTACCTGGACACTGAATAAAAGACCATTCGTAATTTTTCTCTTTTGGACAAAGACTAGCATCAAGCACCATTTCATTAGAGGACATGCCAATAGGTTTCATTGGGCCTCTTGATGATCCTTCCAAACATTGTCCCTTTCCAGTGTTACTGGGATCATTGCACCATCCACACCCGGGCTGTTCCAAACACTGTCCACAGGTCCTCAGTCCAGAGCAGTTTTGAGCTTCATTACATGGAATAAAATATTAATGCAAAGGGGCTTTTGTGGTTGGTTTTTTTTGTTTGGTTGGTTTCTTTTTTTTAATAAGATGCTAGGATTTTACAACAGCTGAAGAAGCAATTTTGCATTTCTATTTCCTTGTGCAAATTAAAAAAAATCAGTAGCATTAGTAAGCATATCTCTGTTTTCTTTAACAGCTGTACTTTTTCAGAGGTCACAAAATACACAGCAGGTGCTTGTTACACCACAATGCAACAAGAATCATTTCAAATAAACAAAGATAATGAAGCAGAACAATAATATTACACATCTTCATTAAATCCCATGATGATATATATAATCTGTGCTTATCGTTATTATGACATGTGTATATTACTAATTTTACTGATGTAAACAGTCCTTTCAACAGGGAAACTCCAGAATTCAAGACAAGGTCTAAAATCCAAAAGTTACAATAATTATCCCAAAATTGGGATAATTGACATTCAAACCAAAAATTTACTTGGATACTCATACCTAAGTATTCATCTATGAACACGACTCAGACTTCTTATATAAAACATTTGAAACAAGCTAGCTTAGTACACATCTTTCCACAGAAGGGATAATTAAACTACAAGTCAGAACTCAATCCCATTTAATTGAACTATGTCTTAAAAGTCTCTTCTGTTAACCAGGTTTAATTTTTTAATTTGTATACTAAAAATCAAATCTCCCTCTAGTTCTTTTATACGCTATTCTTTCTATTTAAATACTTTAATTTCTCATAGAAATGGTCTTCTTCATATTTTAGAAATCTGTTGAGAAACAAAAATCATATTCTGAAGTCACTGCCATTTCTTATTAATAGCAAATTAACAATTTAGTATATTCAGGAACACCATTAGAGTTCACAGGTTTGAGTTTTTTCTGCTACATCTTAAATTTTTTAAATTAATGCTGTAACACTGAATCAAATTAACATCAGAATCATCTGAACATTGATCACTATGGGTCCCTGTTTCTTCTCACATTAACTTTGTAGACACTTAAAAAATAAATTTTAAAAGCATACATGAACTTCAGGAAGATCTTACCCAGAAGTCAGAAAGAGTCTGTTTCTTTAAAAAAAAAGTAAAACTTTAAAGGTTTGTGGGAGCATTTTGGAGGACACCCACATGGCTTCTACATGAGTGTAACCTCTCGATTTGGCTCAGCTGCAGCCAAATATCCAACTATATCCAACTAATGTTCACAGCTACCTTGAACATTCTACTCCACAAAGACTATACTTGAATCCATGCTGTAAAGGCTATGCTAAGCAGAACAATTTCATTTCTAATTAAATAAACTGACAGTGGAATAAAGCTAGCTAGTCTGACCTGAGCAACTATTAACATTGCTTAAAAGTAATGAATGTTTTCAAAAAATACTCCAGTAGTTTATAAAGATAAATTTAGCTACCAAGAAAACCAGCAGTTAAGAATCTGAATGAGCTCTCAAAAGGACTTTAACAGTGCAGAAAGCTGGAGCATGAACCCTTCTACCACTAGACTTGGAAGAATCCACCTAGGAGGAAATGTTTCCCAAATATGGAAAAAGGAGCTCAACTCTTCTTGGAAATCAATGTCAATCATATGACACTAATCAGTTTTAAACCAGACATCATCAAATCTGAAGCTGAATGACACAGATTTTGGTTTTTGAATACATTAGAATATCAGCAGAAAAATAAAGACCACCATTTTCTACTGGCTGGTTTGCCCTTTCAAAGATGCACTATAGATGATCCAAACAATTCTTATGTTGCTATTTATAAAGCTATGAGAAAACAGCTCTGAAGCATCAGCTGGGCTGTCTTCATGGAAGGCAAAACAGAATCAAAAGTGAAAATCCTCAGATATTCTCTGCAGCAGCATTCAGCTGCAAAACTGAAGAGCACTAACTGGAAAGTTGTTGTTTATGGAAGAAGGAGATACTCAAGCAGAATTTTTTTTTAATTTTAAATTGTAGAGGTGGTCCAAGATTATTCAACTGTCAGCTATTCACTCAAAAAATTTTTTAAGCTATAATTACATTCCATTCTCTAAGTAAAAACAGTACCTTTGATACAGGAATCCACTTAATATGTCATTACCTCAGCAGCAATAATGATGTATCTACCCAATACAATTTTCAACTCATTTACACTGAAGCAATGTCTAAATCACATTTCATGTGGGCATTCATCTTCTTCTTTAAATGCAAAATATCTAATGCTTTAAATTCTGAAAAAAAACCTGCTTACAGACACAAAATCTCAGCTTTCTTTAACTTGTTGTATAGAAAATACATTTTCATACAAAACCGACTTTAAATAATGATGAACGGGTATATAGCAAATCCTGTTTGCCTTATTGAACATAAACTTTTACAGATCTGACAAAAATGACAATTTAATTTAAAACATTTTTTGCCTTTCCCCAAACAAATTGAATCTGCATCATGTGCAAATACTACAAAACACTAAAACAGAATTAAAAGTTCAGACTGAAATAGTATATGCTGTTTTTAAAAAGCTAAGCATCATCCATGGGGTGTTCTATTTTAACTCCAAATTTTTCAATCTACTTATCTTATGCCACAACTCACTACCAATATTTTATAAGTTGCAAACCTGATTCCTTATAGGAGTGAAAAAACGTTTGGTGAACTGTTATGAGACAGAAACCTTTACGTAAGTACAGTATTATTATTCTAAGTATATGGGACAAGAGATTACGTGTAATTATTTCTTTGTTCTTAGACTAAACATGGGCTGATGGCTGAGTTCAGAGGACATAAGAACCCAAGGAAGATGCAAACCCTACTTCTAGTCCACACTGAGCCTGGACACTAGAACCCTCCCTAATATATGAATTTACTAAGCATAAGAATTTACCAGAACAGGTCAACACTGTACTAGTTCGTTATATTTTATGATTAGTAACAATGAAGAAGGAACCTCTATCAGATTGGGAATACAAGCTCTGCAGGTTCCAATATCCTTTAACCAGGTGTTGAAAGAAATAATCTCCTATGCCTTTTTTCCTATAAATATGAATGTTGTGGCCTGGTACATATAGCCATTCTTCTCTCCTAAGATTAGAACATATCAATGGTTCATATTACAGACATGGCAGGACCTTATTTTACTTAATATATTCCTGAGGCTTAGGTGAAAGCAAGTAAATGCCTTTTGTATTTGCATCCATAATCTATTAAATGGAAACATGATTTAATTATGACGCTAAAGCAAGTTGCTTCTTGTTGGACAATATCATCAATCCTGCCACAACACATCCAGAAATAAATATTCCAGAGATGCTGATATCAAAAGACCCTTATTAAGAGGGGAAAGGAAGTAGCAAGTAACTGGGAAAAAAACTCTCACAGAGAAAAGAAATGATGCTTTTTCAATAGTTCACTTCAGAAGTCCTATATATTGGGTCTGGGACCAATTGGTTTGGGGTCCTTTACAGGTAGGGATTTGATTTTAATCAAATCTTGAAGGACAGTAAAAATACTAAGAATCAATCTTCTGTATGATGGCAGGTGAAGAATTTTTCTAAATATACCATAACTGAAACTGGCTCTAAGGCACCAGGCAGCTTTCTCCAGCAACTACATGAATTATGGTACCAATATACACTGGAACTGCATGGTGTTGAACCTAACAAGGTCCTGTCACTGCAGACTTGGGAAGAAGTGGCTTTAGCTGAACGATATACCGAAAGGTATCTTGAGTGGGTTTCTTATTCTTCTAGAGAGGCATTGTATCAATTTCTGATAAAATGTGCTTCCAAAAGGAGACATCTGGGGAGTACCTTTTCTGCTTGACAAAGAACTCACCTGCCTTGTTTTTAATGTTTAGTTTTTGTTTCTACTTCTTTGAATCTACTGACAAAATGAATCAGAAACTTTAAAACTCTGAATTCAGCTTATCTCCTTTTATACCACATTTAGTTATTAAAGTCTAAAGTCTCCATATTGTTTCTCTAATTTTAAGAAAATCTTGTTCCAACTCATGGCCATTATTTGAAAAACTTATATCCTGGTTTGAGCTAAATAGAACTAACTTTCTATTTAGGGATTTTACTTTTCAGCTCGGTCTCTTTTAAGTGACTGAACTTGCTGAAAACTGGCAGCATGTTCTTCCCAAACAGCGCTGCTAGAAGATATGCTCAAGGTCAGTTGCCTCATCCTGGGTGCTGTGTCTGCACCTAAGGGGGGGGAAGCAGCCCCAAAACTGACCAACTAGGTATTCCATCCCACATACGTCATACTCGGTATAAAAACCTAGAGATACGAGGGTCTCGGTTCCCTTTTCACCCTTCTTCCATCTTGGAAGCATCTCGGACCCTTCCATCCATCTCGATCCTGCAGAGGCCAAAGTCTGAGCAGAATCCTGCTCGTTCATCTGCCGCTGATCCTGATTTGTGTTTCTGCATCCTGCTCCCACCTGCTGCTGAGTTTGGTCTGGGACTTTTCCAGTTCCCGGCTCCACAGAGCCTCTGGTGACGCATTCGTCATTGGGGGGAGGGTGTGGGGAAGATTTTATAATGGTTTTGTATATATTTGTACATATTTGTATATATTTCATTATTTTCCTATTTACAATATTATCCTGTAGTATTAGTATTATTGTTTTCATTAAATCTGTTAGTTTATTTTCCAACCTGTAAAGTCTCTCTCCCTTATTCTCTTTTCTTTTCCCTTCTGGGGAGGGGAGAGGGGTTAACAGAGAGCATCTGTCCAGGATTTAGTGGCCGGCCCAGCCCTAAACCACGACAACTTATTACTATCTGTTTTAACAGACTAAATATGCTTCATCACAAAAGAATTATCAATATTTTATCTGTATCTAGAAAATACACAGTACTGCGTGCCTACATTATTAGCTATATAAGGCAATTCATCTGCAATTATTTTTATCTTTAGGTGAACGTGCTGAATCCTATTCATAGAGTTACTCTTATGAGTGGAAAAAAACTAAACAGTATATTTAATAGGATGAACATTCATTATGATACTCACGGGAGCATGTGGCAGTTTGCCATTCTAGACACTGTCCATATGGAAAAGAGATTATATAGGCGTTGGAGTCAACACACCGCTTGGTACTGCTACACCACATACATTCCATACCATTACTCGTGCAGTTAGAACATGTTGTTCGCAGGGAGCATGGCTTTTTGCAGGGTCTGGCATTCTGGTTGGGACTAACTGGAAACGAACCACAAACATTTGTAGTTTTGAACACAAATACCATCTCCTGTTTCTTTAACTATATGTTCCACTAGAAAAATCCTTGTTAAAGTGAAAGTGGTTGCTTCCTTAATTAGCTATAAATAATTTAGTCTAAACGTACAGTGCAGGATATAAATACTAAAAAATATTTTATTAAAATTATTAGTTAATACTAAGCATGACTCACATGAGTAAAATCTTCTAAAGTTAATTTTAAAATTTTCACAGCAGTTTCACCTAGTGTGGCCTTTACATTTTGAGATGTCTTTTCCATTGTGAATATATTTTTTTACTATTCTAAGAAACATCTGGTAAATAGTTAACTATTAACTCAAAATTAAGAACACTGTAAAGATGAAATTTTTAGGAAATATAGATGGCAGTAGCAACAAGTGTACAATATGCACTTTGCAATTTCATTACTATTTGGATTTACTTATAAGAAAATAAAGAATTGGTAAGAACACACTTTGGTTATGCAAGTTAACAACTCTGACAACTTCACTGCAAAACCATCAGACTGATAGGCAGTGTTCCCAACACACCAACAACGCAGCTATTTTCCAGTTTTGCACAGACAAAATTTATTTATCCACAAAATAAATCTGAAGGGGAAATTTAAAGAACTTCATGTGCTTAAACTCACAGCTATGAAGAGAAACTTAGGACAATCAGAGCATGAAAATGCTAATGTCAAGTGACTATTTGCCACAGTAATCTTTACACACAAACAATACTAAAAGAGAGAAATAAGAATTTTGGGTTTGTCAGCCTTTTAGACCATTAAAATATTTGTTTATATTCAGTCAGATTCAGAAAGGAAACAGCAGCCTTGTTGAACTCCTCCATAGACACCTTCATACTACAATCACCATTGTCACTGACTGCCACAGCTTTAGAGGCAATTTATAAGATTTCTGGTGTAATGCTAATTAAGTCATGTAAACTAAATCACAAATAAATATTTGCTGCTTTAGAAATACTGTTTTATAGGTTAAAGATCAATGTGTGTTTTTTTTAAAAAAAAGTAATTTTAAAAAAAATTATTTAATCCAAATCGTCCAAAAATTCCTCTTAGCCAAATGAAAACCCAAACAGCTTGCTAATCATGACAGTAACAGTAATTGAGTAGTATAAGAGATTGCTTACCAACAGGTTTTTCACACACAAGACCATCTGCCATTGCAGTGCATGGATTTGCCTTCAGACCGGCCACCTCTGCTCTTTCTAGGTATGCACAGAAGCCAGAGTCGTTTGGCTCTCCAGGAAGCCACTGCAGAGTTGTATTTGTAAAAGGAGACATGTCATCCCATCCCCAGTAGGAGATGTTGATCTTGCGCAAACCTACCCAAGGTGAAATTTTCTATGAATCAGAATGAAACAAATAGGAGATAATTAGTTAAATGCTTTTGCTATCGTTAAAACGTTTCAAAAAACAGCTCAAAAGCAACAATAATGTTGATAATAAAATACATCGGAGTTAACAGCAATTCACAGAAATCAAAGTTCAAGAAAAAAGAAGCTAAATATTCCTTTCTCTAATACCTGTACTGCTGACAGTAATCAACATTTCTAGGCAATTCAGATACAGAAATGAAAGTGGCACTTCCAGAACTCTGATGCCAATATGCATTGAATACACTTTTATTATTGATTTATAACCTATAAAAAAGCTAGTCTAGAAAACATAAAAAGCATTGATTCTCAAAAAATATTTAGGATGTATCATTAAAATTACATGACACAAATTCAACTCATTTTTATAATTTCACCTTTACAGAAACGTCAAGAGAAGCAGTAGATTTTGAGGAATAAAGGCCTTTGCTTATTCCAGGATAAATCTCCATCAATTTCTTGCTCCTGTCACTGTAAAAATCTCAAGATGCCAAAAACAAACACTTTTCCTCATGTAACCTCTGCACAGGCAGTTTTCATTAACCCCAGTTTAAACATAGGGAACAGAACTATAGAAAGACTATGGGCTGTGACAGGTATGTGGGGGTAGGTGAATACCAGACAGCCAAACACCACAGCTGTCTGCCCCACGCAAAGGACAGATGTTGCCACCTCCAAAGCAGAAATGTTGATCTGATTGTGCATTAAGTTCTCACCTGACTTAATTTACAGGCCAAAGTAGGTAAAACACTATAATATACCTAAAGGGAACCTGCTGTGATTCAAGATCTACATGTTATTTCACAAAGGAACCAGGAGTCACCGCCATCATCACTCAGAGAGATCTTTCATCTTTGATCTCACATCTTTCTTTGGCCACTCAGGTTTAATCCACAGCTGAAAATCTTTCAAGAGCTCTTACATCTACACCTCATCAGAATATCAGGTGTAGATATTTTTCCCCTGCCTCATTAGCCCAAACTGAAATACAAAGAATCATTAATTTTGCTTCAAATACCAGTGGCAATTACTTAAAAAAAATAAAATTAGTAGGTAGGCAATCTATGTTCCTGACTTCCCCAGAATGTACTCCCTACACCCTCTCCCTCTTCTGTCCTATTAGAGTATGATCCAACAAAAAAATGCTACAGCATGTAACAGACTTACAGATGCAACAACAAACAAATAAACCAGAAAACCACCAAGAAATGTTCCATTCCATAAGCAGCGATGCACTCAGGGAGATTATCAAACAGCAGCAAGAATATCCAGCAAAAATACCACTACGTACTCTTACGTCTTACTTCTGCACTTACTTCATAACTTCATTGTTACCCCAGGTGCCCAGATTTCCAGGTGTATGTGAGAGCTACCACATTCTGGATACCATAATGAACATGATGTAAACAGTAAAAGTGGATCCTGGGCATCTGGAAGGTGGTAGATAATACATCTGTTGTCTTACTTGCTCTGTAGCTGCCTAGCCTGCTGAATGTGTGCGTGGTCCACAAGCATCAGAAAACTTTAGATATTTATGGATGTCTCTAGACACCCTTCTGTAGAATGCTAAGCGTGCACACCAGGCACATGTAAAAAAAAATAGGGGCTTAGGCAGGATTAACTGCTGACAAACACAGACCTAAACCAGCCTTAAATGCCTACTTTGGAGCTGAGGAATTCCAGCCAAAAGAACCTTCAACATATTACCGACTGTTTTGATTGCACTGCCAAATAATTTGGCCTTGGCAACAATATATAGAAAACAGAGATCCTATTCCAGCTATGATGAAAAGCATAACAGGTCAATAATTAAAACTGATGGTGCAGCAGTGACAGTTTAGAGATTCTTCTATTTCAGC